CAGATGCGCATACACGCAACTTTCATCTCTCTCTCTCTCTCTTTCTCGAATTGGCAATATTTGAGAAAAGGGTTTAGCGATTTATAATTATTGGGGGGACTAGCCCCCCTCAATGTCTGCGGTGGTTATCGCCCTGATCAGACATGAACATATGTTGTGGCACTATCGTGCAGTCTATAATGATATGACGTTAGTTAGCAAATATTAGTGATTTTTTTGCAAACATTTCTTTGAGTAACATGACCGTAAATATGAACTCATGATTGAATGTAACATAAAACAAATGATTACTTTTCGTTAAAATCTTTATTAATGCCAAAAATGCTTACATTTATGTGTCTTTTTGTTCGCTCGGGCAGCTATGTTGCCCCTGATAATTCATACCCCTTCGTTTGAAGTGTGGTCCCGAAAAATCTTCGTTTGAAGGGCTATCTGGCCCTTCCCCTACCCCTCCAAACAAAAAAGAATTGAGACACCCCTACCCCTTCACGTGAACGTGAAGGAAAAGGTGAAGGGCTAAGGGGTAGAATTGGGCCTAATTAATGACAGAATTTACATTTTTGGGTGAACTATCCCTTTACCTCTCATGTGCCCGTTTAGGTATCCTTTATGAGTGAACTCTCCACACTGTTGGCAGGTAAAAAGGCTCTCCATAGTGTGAATTTGCCTGTGGACATCAAGGTTTACTAAAGCAATAAGCCACAAGAACCCGTGGTTTGCAGTGAGTTTATAACAGCTTAGGGACGTTGTTGGGCACGATGCAGAGTGGAGTGCCTAAAACCCCCTTAGCTGTCATAAATTCACTGTAAACCACTGCTTCATGGGGATTATTGCTTTTATAAAACGGTTATTCCATATACGTAGCAAGGTCTCACAAAATAAAACAAAGCAAATTAAATGTAATGATATTAATAAAAACATTCTTCTGCCAAACAATGTGGTTCCTCAGAAACAGTTGTGGTTGCAACAAAGTGGTTGCCGAACAACGCACAGACGACAAACAAAGAGGTGTATGTTTGTAGAGTAATTTACAACAGCTTAGAATGTGGCTCAACCAATCAGAATCAAGGAACTATCCGTTTTATACATTTTCATTGAAACTCTCTTCACACTGAGGGGATCTGTTAGGCTTCTCTCCATTGTGAATTTTCATGTGCCTGTCAAAGGTTTCCTCGTTGAGTGAAACTCTTTCCACACTGTTTGCATGTGTAAGGCTTTTTCCAGTGTGAACTCTCATGTGCCTATTAAGGCTTCTTTTTTGAGCGAAACTCTTTACACACTGTTGGCAGGAAAAACGTCTCTTTGTAGTGTGAATTCTCCCGTTTTCTCCACTTTTATTCAAACTCTTTCCACACTGAGGGGATCCGTTAGGCTTCTTTATATTGTGAATTTTCATGTGGTGTTTAAGGGCTGCAGAGTCAATGAAACTCTTTACACAATAATAGCATGTGTAAGGCTTCTCTCCAGTGTGAATTTTCATGTGGCGTTTAAAGGATCCAGAGTGACTGAAACTCTTTCCACACTGAGAGCATGTGAAAGGCTTCTCTTCAGTGTGAATTATCATGTGCCCGTTAAGGCTTCTTTTATGAGTGAAACTCTTTCCACACTGTTGACAGGTAAAAGGGATCTCCAAAGTGTGAATTTGCCTGTGGACATAAAGGCTTGCTTTATGCTTGAAACTTTTCCCACACAGATGGCAAGTGAAGGGTTTCTTTCCAGTGTGAACTTTCATGTGGTATTTAAGTTTTAATTTTCCGCTGAAATTTCGTCCACACTGTTTGCAGATGAAAGGTTTCTCTCCAGGGTGAACTCTCATGTGGACTCTAAGTCTTCCAGGATTACTGAAACTTCTTCCACACTGTTTGCAGGTGAAAGTCTTCTCTCCAGTGTGAACTTTCATGTGGTTTTTAAGGCTTCCAGGATTACTGAAACTTCTTCCACACTGACAGCATGTGAAAGACTTCTCTCTAGTGTGAACTATCATGTGCCTGTTAAGGTTTTTTTTTTGAGTGAAACGCTTTCCACACTGTTGGCAGGTGAAAGGCGTCTCTCCAGTGTGGGTTCTCATGTGGCTTTTTAGGTTTCCTTGTTGACTGAAACTCTTTCCACACTGTTTGCAGATGAAAGGCTTCTCTCCAGTGTGAACTTTCATGTGGCTTTTAAGGTTTACATGATTACTGAAACTTCTTCCACACTGACAGCATGTGAAAGGTTTCTCTCCAGTGTGCGTTTTCATGTGCCTATTAAGGGTTTTTTTTTGAGTGAAACGCTTTCCACACTGTTGGCAGGTGAAAGGCTTCTCTCCAGTGTGCGTTCTCATGTGGCTTTTAAGCTTTCCTTGTTGACTGAAACTCTTTCCACACTGTTGGCAGGTGAAAGACTTCTCTCCAGTGTGCGTTCTCATGTGGCTTTTTAGGTTTCCTTGTTGACTGAAACTCTTTCCACACTGTTTGCAGATGAAAGGCTTCTCTCCAGTGTGAACTTTCATATGCCTATTAAGGGTGTTTTTTAGAGTGAAACTCTTTCCACACTGTTGGCAGATGAAAGGCTTCTCTCCAGTGTGAACTTTCATATGCCTATTAAGGGTGTTTTTTAGAGTGAAACTCTTTCCACACTGTTGGCAGGTGAAAGGCTTCTCTCCAGTGTGCGTTCTCATGTGGCTTTTAAGCCTTCCTTGTTGACTGAAACTCTTTCCACACTGAAGGCAAGTGAAATAACTCTTAGTTCCCATCTTTTGATCTTTTTTTAGTGTGGAAGTCTTTTCAGACTGTAAGGAGCAAAAAGATTTTTCTCCAGTTATGGAATCATGAATATTCTCATACTGATCTTTCTCTTCAGTTTCATTCAGTCCTTCCCTCTCCTCTTTCAGCACCGTTAAGTCTAAAGTGGAAAAACAAACAAGTTAACCCCAGTTTAATGGCTCAAAGCAATCAACATCAAAACATGTAGATATGTAATGCATGTATGCTAGATCCTACACCAGGATGTCCAAACCTGATCCTGGTCGGCTGGTGTCCTACACAGTTTAAGCTGACCGTTATTCAATTAATTTAAAAAAATCTAATAGCAGATTTTAGGAAATCTAGAAATAGACTGACCTCGATTATGTGCCATTTTTATGTCTCCTAGGGGATACAATGCAACAAATTTAGAGAGAGGGGAAAAAAAAAGAAAAGTGGGCTAACTCCCCACTCAACAGTCTGATGAAAAATTCATCACACAATAATTCCTTGTGAGGTTTTATTAAGGGGGCAATGTTAGACAATCATAAAAGTCAGCTGTTACACTGACCGTTTAAATGGAAAACACCCCAAAACTGACTGTTTGAGTCAGAGGGTGAGAATCAGGGTGGAAAACAATAAATCATCATACATTTTTTTTTTGTCCAAGTATTTCTGACAGCTGTACCTTCTATGTTTACCATTAAAACATTACAATCTAAAATTAGTCTTCAAAGCACTAAATTAAAAATGAAATAATAGAAAACAGCCTACATTTTAACTGGGAAGAGGAACAGACATTCACTCATTTGAGCTAGTAATTAGGACTGTATTAGCTAGCTTACATTTGATTTACAATTACTGCTATGATAAAAATATTCAATTAATTCAAGTTCATTTGTATAGTGCTTTTTACGATACAAATCGTTGCAAAGCAACTTTACAGAAAATTAAGTTTCTACAATA